CTTGGTTGCTCCGAGGCCCAATTACCGCTTCTGTCTCAACGGTATCAGAGGCTTCCTTCAAGTCGATAAGCGTAAGGCATAACGGCATTTTGTGTTCTCGCGATACTTCAATGAGTCTGGTAAGAGTGTGGATATGATCGATTGTACTGAACCCTCTCCGGAACCATGGCTCCTCCCATGGCTGTCCTTCACCTATATTCTGCCAATCCTTTCAGGATGACGCAAGTGAAAAACTTGACAGCAGGCAAATTTGGCGATAATTGCCAATATCGTCTGGATCTTCCTTCTTATATAGCAATACAGTCTTGCTAGTTTCCCACGGAAGAGGTCCAAGTAGAAGACGTGGACGACCGTCTACACTGTCCTTTGAGATGCAGTAATTGTTTCGTCAGGACGACGAAGGGAAGTCATCTTGGTTTGTAATTAGAGAAGCTCCGTCGGGCTTTTCGAATGCTCTTTTGAGCCTCAGCAGCCTCGTCCGTAACTGCTACTCTTCTCTCTTTCAAATCTTCCTTTATTGCTTTTCTGCATAGCTTCGAAAGTTCGGACGTTTGTTGATGATTGCCTGCAGCTCGCGCAATTCCCCGCTGGCGTATCAGCTCGAAAATCATCGAAGAAATCGTTTCTCGCTAATTGCAAACTCTCCGCCTTCCTGGCACTATTGTGAACATGTTCGGCTGCCGGTCGTACTCTTCATCGATGTTGTCCATAGCGGAATCCCTCCATTCATTCGCAATAAAGCGAAGTGGTCCCAGTTGATGAAAGTCTTGGAGCTTCGTTGCCTGAGAAGCAGAATTTAGCGCGGAGGAGACGATGATCTAATGCCGTGTAGAACTCAGGAGCAGCAGCGACATCAGTCAGGCAAACCTCTGATTAAAGATGAAGTTGTCCATTTCACCATGAAACTGTCCACCGGGTGACTCCCTTGTAAATCGCAAGTGAGAAGGGGTTCTGCAACTGCGAGTTACCATGGATGATGTTGGTCGTCATGATAAACTCGGACAGCCTTTAACCCTGCTAAGTCCATTCCATTCCGTGGGTCCCGATGTGGAGCTCTTCAGCCGTTCTTCTGGGGCCAATATTGGCGTTGAAATCACCGACGAAAAGCTTGAAATTTTATGGTCTTCTCTGTAGGTACTTTATGTAGATCCATTGAGTACGCTTCCAACTTCACAAAGTTGGCGATTTATGGATAAAACTTCATTCTCGGACGGGACTTGAAGCCGTACTTGTGTTTTTCGGGCGCCGTGCTCTATCTCTTACACCACCAAGACCCCGCCTGCCTTCGCCTTCGCAATGGCTCATATACTACCAGTTGCCATAAGTGTTTCCGTGCTGCCCCCTGTACTTCTACAATTTGAATGCGTTGGGTCTACTAGAATAGGAGTTATGAATTTGCGCCCTAAAAGTTCTATCGCGTACGCCCACCCCCTGTGGGCGGAGTCCGGTCCCGCCACTTGCTATGGGTGTCTCAATGCTGCCCCTGTACTCCTACTAAACCCGAGTTTTCTAGGTCCACGGGAACAGGAGTTATGAATTTTCGATCAAGCACACACACCGACACACAAACACACACACACCGACACACCAACAGACACACTTAGCGAATTATATAAAGTATTATAGGATAGCTTATCAGCACTCACAGGTACAACGTGTTGAGCCGCTCGGCTAATGTCAGCACAGAACCTTGAACTGCAAGCTTTACATGGCTAGCTTTACATAGCTTCACAGCTTCAATAAGAAGGCGAGGGCAAGCGAGGTCTCGGTAGCGTGGGGAATAGATCACTGTGCTCGGAAAGCACAAATACTTCTGAAGGTTTGTCCATAAATCGCCAACCCTGTCAGACTTCCGCTTCGCGTACTGCGGCGCTAAAAGAGCATTTAACAAAACATCAAGTTAAAACAGTCGCTCCCAACTTTTTTCCTACGAAGTTTGATGTTGGTGTGTAGCCAACGGAGATGGTTAGAGCTGGGATCGATTCACATATTCTTAATCGCAAACGTCCTATTCGGGTTGTTAAGCTTTCGTACGAATCTATGTTCATGGCCGAGTGCGCATTGACGAGGACACCTGCGCCGCCGACGTCTGCTGTCCCATGTTCCAAGGAACAGTTCTTCTCAGTTTCAAATACAGCGTGCAGTGGGCGATGCCTTCTCGTCTCGGTCAGTCCGATGACGTCGTACTTGATCTTCTTAGCTTGTATCATCAGGTCTCCTATACACGCTACGATGCAAGCTTCCGTGAGTTGAAAGTNCTCAGGTTCAGGGGAATGAGGCTCATTTCTATTACTGTTTTTGGCGTGAAGATACCCAACGTGCAGCTTGCCAGGCTTTGACAAGGGGGCTAGGTTGACTCCGGGAGCTTGCCAGGCTATCCCGAAGTGGACGAGAGGCTTCGTTTTTGGAGGCGACCCCGAATCGCCTCTCAGATAACTCCCAGTCACTCGAATGCAAGCTTTTGGCCGAGTGGACGGGCAGGAGTGTGGAGAGTCTGTGGGTGCAGTTGGCACTGCACCCACAGACTCTCCACACTAGTATGCGTGGATACGCCTGCGAGTAACAGAGGGGTTATCGACCAAGCACAGCAGAATCAACGAGTTCTTCCTCCAAGTCCACCTACGTCTCTAGGCAAGTACTGGCGACTTTGAGTCGGCGATTAATTTCCCTTTCGGCCAACTGGACACGCCCTACGTAACCTCACCGCTAACTGGATGGGATCCTTCAGTGAGAGAGAACCCTCACTGAAGGAGATTTTTGCGATATTACTGTACTTATACTCATATCGCGAAAAAAACCAATTATGAAAATGCTGGCGGGACTACCCCATAATTATTATCGATATTTACCGATTTTGTGTAGGGCCGGAGGTGGTGTAATGGCAAGTGGCGCACATTGTCACACGCACGGTCAAGGGTTCGAATTTCGGATCGATATCCGCCTAAGCCAACCAAGCCTTCCATCCCTCCGTCGTCGGTTAATTGGTACTAGACTCGTCTGGGAGGATAGAAGCACTGCCTTTACATCGGNTGGACACCGCAAGTCAATGTATAGGCCTCATACGCACTCACTACGCCATTACGATTCTGAATGGAAGTCGATGCGGGGGCGTCATCCCACAGATTGGATCGATTAACGCCAAAAGACTTTATCTTTTATCCTTTACCGATTTGTTCGCCCAACATCAATGCTTTCATATGAAAACTTCAGACATTCGCAAGAAGTTTGAGGATGATAGGTAAGATTTGTAGCCGTTTGCCTTTTCACAGCTCATACAAGCCCATATCGATGATTACCATTGTTGTTTCCTGACCATCTATGACCAACTTTACAGGAGCCTAAGAGTTTCAAGACTTAAGCATCGATGCAAGGGTACGAAGGATTTCAGCAGAATGGACGAGGGATTTTAGTATTTGTTGCCTTCTGAGCCCTGTTAACTGTTCTTATCAGCAGTTTTTAGTCCCTTTCGCTGAACACTAGTGGACCCGCTCCTCATCAGACCCCAGAAGGGCACTGCTCCCACTAGGGTAACGGAACTTCTCCCCTATCGCGGCATTCTCCCTTGCAGCATGCGGCAAATATCACTGCAATTACCGTACTCANGTTTTCATGTTTATTAGACTTGATTAATTAAAATGACTCCTCCTATATAAACGACGATCAAGACCGCATTGGAATTGAAAAGAGCGGCCACCAATTCAAATTACTAAAGGTTCGTAGTTCTTGTTTTCAGAGCCCTGTCGACTCTTGGCATCCATCTTTAAGTTACTAATCTATCTACTGAACACTGTTTATTTGAAGGCTGTAGTTCTAGAACACTGCAAACGATGGAAATACACTAACACACTCATATTCACTTGTTGGATAGGATGGTTGAAGATAATTTCTGATGTAATCAAGATCGTATCATAAACATGACGCAAAAGGTAAGTCTAGGCGCAAATGGGCTGTTAGGATTGCGTCAGAAAGGTAGTGTAGAATCGCCAGATTGGAGGGATAACAAGGCCGTTTACAAACCCGTAATATCGAAGCGCTGAGTTAGTAGCATGGTGGGAACTTATAGAGTTAACGTGATATTCTTTTACGATGACAGCCTCTATCATGGCTCGTCACCGTCCAGTGCCGTTTTCTTTCGCAAGTCATTCACGAAACATTCAGTGTCATAAGTACAATATTGCCTTTTGAAAAAAAACAAGCCTCTCCTGTATATTATATATCGAGCGCTATCTTTAGTCGCTGCAGTACTCATTAGGATTTGTTTAAAACAAAAAGGTTAGAAGTTTGATATGTTTTGAAGTATGCGGAGCACACTTACCTTTGAAGCGCTCTTTATCTGAACATCGGGATCGTCTGGAAGATATGCGGTATAAGTTCCTTTTGGAGGATGAAACGCCAATTTCCTCGTAATCTCGTCTGGTACTGGTGGGCACAGCAGGTAACAGCACATTGCGCATCCCTGTGTGAGAAATAACGTCTCCATCGCAGTCGCAGTCACCCAAATGAAAAGACCAAATAAAAACTATTTATTGCGGAAGCGATAAATGTCTAAGGTATTTTTTGCATCTGCTTCTGGAATGAATCTTTTTTTTGGAGGGAGGGCATCATCCCAGTTTTTCGTTCCGTTCCAGCGAGAGTTTCCCAACAGTATGAGAAGAACTAAAATGCGTGCGGACGAAAACCTGGAAGGACACCCTAATTCACGAGGTGATCCACTCATGAGAGTAGAGATATTAGGAATGAAATAAGAACTTCATGGTTTTCTATCAGCTGTTTCCCAACAGTGAGAAAAATGCGAACAGTATGGATCGCTAACGATATTTCACCCTGAGGATCATGTGCCGTTAACGTCTATTCATGGATGTCATTAGTCTTGAGTCACCCCATCGAGAATTTCAGAGGTTCTAACACTCATAGAGGTTAACCCTATTCAAAAAATGCATTAATAATTGGATCCTCCGGATACACAGGCTTCTTACAATGTTTGAATAAACTGCCAGCTTCCAACCATCGGGTTTCCATGAATCAATAAAACTCCCAATACCGCATCCTCCAATTCCACACTTCAATAATCAATGTGGTTCCATTTTTATCAGAAACGTTCTCACTGTTGATGTTTTTCATTTTGTTGCGCTTGATCTAAGTGTGCCTCTATTACAGAGCATGGGTTCGAAATGAGATTTTTGGTGACATTTTGTCATACAATGAGGCCTAATGCCTTTTGCTATCACTCCTAATGATCAATCAAATATAGCCAACTTTCCATTTCCAAAGCTTGAACTTGACCGGAAGCTTCATTTGTCTTCTTGAAATATTACACAGTAAGTACATGTTCACGACGTACGATGAAAAGCGCAGTGACAGGTACAATGTCTACCCTAAGACCTCACAAATCCACAAAAAAAANAAAAAAAACACGAACTCAATGATGCATATCGGTTCAGCCAAAAGCGTGCATCGAAGTGCCGGGAAAGTATTCCGGAAGGCAACTAGGGATAGCCTCCAACAACTAGGCCCTTGTCCATTCAGAAACACCTTGGCTAGCTACCGTGTCTACCCAGTTCTCTAGTCGGAACCTGAAGCTTTACTTCTTGTTACCCATTTGCCGAAAACAGGGACCTTCTAAACCTGAGGGAGCTCCCAATACGGCAGCATTGGATGGACCGCTAGGAAGAGGCTGATAAAATCCCAGGACCGCAACAGGATAACCCGAAGGAAAAGTACTAATATGGCTATCTGTCCTTCCAATGCAGGGACGCTTGCATGAGAAGTCGCTGATATGAAGACGTTGGTCAAGCACGACGTCATCAGTCTAAACCAGACGAGAACGTACTGTCGGCTGCATGCTGATTTTGAGACTTAAAAAGAACTGTTCCTTGAAGTATATGACAGTAGAGGCGTCAGTGGCGTAGATGTCTTTGGCCATGAATATCTATTCGTATGAGAGCTTGACAATCCAGTTAGTTCGACCTATTGCGATGCCGTCTTCGAGATGCTCTGACAGTTTTCGTTGCCTACGCACCAACATCAGGCTAATGAGGAGAGGAGCTGGAAACAGTAAAATGAACCTGGAAGAGCTCATCAAAGAGGACTATACTTTCTTCAAGATCATCGTGGGTGAACTCAACGCCACATTTGCACTGAATCGGCCCACTCAGCCCTCCGCGCTAGATTCCGTTTTTCAGTGCGTAGAGAAAGCTGCGAACTTCAGGTAACTAGGCCCCAAAGCGGTCATTTGGGACCTTTTCGCTTCCCTTCTGAGTTTATGAGAAGATTCCCTCATCGACAACATGGATAAAGAATAAAACCCATTTGCCAAAAATCTTCACGATAGTGTTATAAGAGCAGAGAGTCTTTCAGTAGCCAGAGACGTCTATCTTCAAAGAATTCTAAGCTAATACGCGAGCATGGAATCACGCGAGCTTCAGTCACCCACCAACGAGGGTCCGTACTTGTGAAGCTATGCAGTGAAGCGACAAAGGAAAATCCAAAAGGGAAAAGAGCAGCAGCTATGGCCTAAGCCGCCGAGGTCGGGGAGAGCATGTACAAAACCTGCTGGAGTTTTGCCAAATTTAGGACAACAATCACTTTCCCACGTCTACCTGACGGACAAGATGGATATGTCGTTCCTTCAGTTCACCCCTCCAAAACTCAAAATGCCATCATGTCGATGAAGGTTTGTAGGTGTCCGGTCCGGATAGGATCAAACGAGTACATGTGATGTGATTTCCTCCAGTTATTGCCGAAGCTCTAGGTAGGCTCCTGACGCGGTTTTTCTAATGCGAAATGCGCGCTTCGTGGAAAAGTAGCAAGACTGTGTTGCTGTCAAAGATGGTAATTCAGACGATATCGGCAAATGCCGCCCAATTGGCCTGCTGTCTGTAATCTACAATCTATTCACACACGTCATCCTCAACAGATAGGCAGAATGTTGGGAAGGACGTGCGGGCAAGCAGGGTTTCGGAGAATATTCAGTACATCGATCATATGCGCACTCTCATTAGACTCACTAAAGTATCGCGAGAGTAAAAAGTGCCGCTATGTCTTACGTTCATCGATTTGATACTCTCAAGACAGAAGCGATATCCCAATAATGGGAGACCCGGTCATCCTATTCATTATAAGGATGATACGTGAGCTCTACGACAAATTCACGACCAGGAGTTCATTCTACAAAGGATTCATTTTCAAGGTACTAAGAGGGATACAGGCGATACCATCTCGCCCAAAATTTTCACTGCCGTCTTTGAAAACATCATGCGTCATTTGGGAGCTGGAGACTTAGGACTGAATGTGGCCGGCCGCTATTTAAATCACCTCCTACTTGCTGACGACATCGTGCTTAACATGGAACATCTAGCAAGTAGAACGAATGCTGTCAAATTCGGCAGCGCTTCTGGACTGATCGGCTTGAGAATAAACGTAAATGGATAACGGAGTCATGAGTAACGGATTGGTATCTGATGCTTCTCTTACGCTAAACGGAACGAACATGTTTGAGCGAAGATTGAAAAGTCAGCGTGGAGGAAGATCTAGTCTCGAAGCTGAGCAGAAGCGAACCTGTTGCATGGAAGCAGGAAGCTAGGCACGGTTAACGGGAAAATGGATTCTGAAATTTCTCCATAGCATGAATTTGAGGCCTCCCCCCTGATACCACGTGTGCCGATGCCAGGTCGATAAAAGTCTTGGATAGGACGCAATGAGACGCCACACATTGTATATATAGTCGGCTCTTCGCGCAGCTACAAAGACTGAAATCTTGTCCAAATACCCGATACGTGCAACCCAGATTTTGACTACTTTTGCGGAGCCTGACGTTTCGCGAAGTATGCGGGTTTACACGTTTTCTTCGCCGCCGATGCACTGCTCTACATCAATAGTTCCTTCTTTCAACCTAAAATTGTTACCCCAAAATTGAACTGAACTGTGCCTTTGGAGAAAACGAAGAGAAGCCGTCTCCACGCTCGTCACCCTACACTGCGACCCTCTCTGCTTTAACATAGATCTGGAAATTGAGAGCTTGAGATCCTTTGGATCTTCATACGAACAGGGGGAAGGTTCCAGCGTGAAAAGGATACGAAAATAAGGTTGCTGTGCGAGGACCATCCACTGGACTACTCTGGCAAGCGATAAAAACGGAATGAAAGCTACTGACGCTCGCTCGAAGGAATCCATGGTTGGCGGACGATCGGCGATGGAGATGAGCACCGTTTTGTGATAGTGGGTAGTACCAGGAGAATATGGAATTGGCGGCACGGCATCAATTTCAGTTGTTTTTTACGAAGCGTCAAAGCTTGCATGCGGGCGTTTACGTGCTGCTTTGTATTAACACATTATGCGTTGCATTCACTATTCTATTTATAATTACTACTGGTGCAATGACTTTACGATCATGTAAAAGAGCAACCTGGCGAGTTAAGCGATGCCCTCAAAGCATTCTTGATAGTGTTGTTGACTGTTAATGATAATATTACCAAAAGTTCTTATCATATGACCCTTTCCTTCTCCATAGATACAAACAGTTAGTCAAAGTTCCCTGAGGTTATTGGCGATTGTCTTCACTTTATAGACGAGTTCGGTATTTGTAGATAACGTTTGTGACAAAAGATATTGAAATGAAGAGAAATCGTCGTCGCCTGATGGGTTACAGACACGCAGTGGGGTTTTCGAACGTTCTCCTTTTGTTGATCTAATTTTGATTTGGTCTAAATATGCGGTGTTCCCTATTCGTCAATCTAGTCTACCATTCTACCTCATCGCATGAAACACACAAAGATGTCAAGGCTGCATGGTAAATAAGATAAGGAATAATAACTAGTTGTTTCCCGCTTTCTATGGCTCCTTCGCTGCCCTTAGCGGTTGTTATCATTATTGACACTGATCGTCTGCAATCCCACCACATTGGAGACACTTCCCAGAGTTTTAGATTCCTCTGGAAACACGAGGAGGATAATTTCTCGAATCGCCGCTTATGGGTTCCCTTATCGGTTCCCTGTCTTCCCGTTAATCATAGATTTCCTCGAGCGAACGCCGGAAACGTCTCCAATCGTCCCTGTCGCGAGCCAGAATGGTCAGATGAATCGCTCTTCCTTGAGAGAAACAAGGTACAGCATTTTTTTCAATCAGTGCTTCCGTTAAAAAGTGTGATCACTGTGCTGGCGGCCGTCCTGGTGTTCGTTTGACGATCTGTGAGATAGGGAAACACAATTATTGTCCCTTTAAAAATGCAATGAGTAACCCTGACGGCATGTTCACCTTGCTTTCGTAGAATCCAAGTCTCCTAGACATACATCGAAGCAAGAAGCCGGATGTCCTTTGTCTTCCTCACTGCTTCTTCGATGATCTTGAACGCTTCCCATGCGGCACGTTTTCTTCTGCTCAGCTCTGGAGCTGAGCCGTCCATCATCTTGACTTCCCGACCTGGATACGCGCAGCTAATACATTCCTTTCTCCAGCGTAAGCGGTGCATCAGGAACCAATCTGTTTCCCATGAACATTGTATTCGTCAAGCTCAATAATGTAGTGCCTTTGAACGACCCGTTTTATCGAATAGAAAATATCAAAAAAAATATCAAGTGGTAAAAGCTTCTAGATCATAGCCCAGTGCGTTAGGATTTGATTGGTAGAAGGATCTTGCACTTCGAATTCTGTACTTCAAATTTGTTCTTGTTAGTCTGTTATCAGTTTCTTTCAGAGGGAACCCACGACCCCGTCACATCCTACACCACTTAGTAGTTTGCCAGGGTTTCACTGGTGACACGAAGGGGGTGCAGACCTATTGTTATCAGTCCATGTCATGAATTATCCACGGCCCATTACATCCCACACAACCTGCAAAAGTGCTGAATTTCCACTGTCAATACGAAATGCTACATAGGTTCAGTGGAATCGCGCCTTCTATAGCTAGTAATCAATTCTGGTTGATCAATTCTCAACAATTGAAATCAAGTCTCATGGCCAAACAAAGTACGGTCCCTTCACAAGGTCTTCCTAAAGTACCAAGGCTCAACAGTACCATTCATTCGCCTTTGACTGAAAATGTCAATCTTCTGCTCTCTTTCTTAAAAAAATAGCCGTGAAAAATTCAACTGTTAGACAACCAAAGATGATGCTATGAAGATGGTCTGAGTGATGATAGCACCATTATCAGATGCCTTTATCAATAGACCCTTTTTTTATGGAAATGCAGTCAATCCATTAAAGGTAATGGCCGTTGCATTCGTCGCATCACCAAGTTGTCTTTACACCCATTTTCTTAGTACGGTGAAACGTGAAAACTGTTCACCTTTAACACATCTGTAAAGTATGATCCACGCTTTTCTGAATGAGTTCGTGAGTACACTGATACCTGAACTTTGTCGTTTGCGTTGCTAACCCTCGAGAAACCTTGAACCATCTTGAAAGCAAAATAAAAAGGCCCTTTATGGGCCCCTATAGAAATGTTTCAAAATGAATCTTACATCCAAACGTTCGTGATTAAGCATCAAGATCCAATTAGTAAACTACTCGGCTGAGTGAGGCCGACCAAGCAGCGAAACTGGAGTTTTGCCACTAAACCTCGCTTTATCGTCTCGAAGCAGTGATATAAGATATCAAAAAATCTACAGATAAGACTGAGATTGACCTCAGCGTCATTTTCATTTCCAGGCTGTTGCCTCGTGTTTCGTGCAGAAGAGCTGTGCAGAAGATGAAGAGCAAGCTCGCACGGTTGCATCGGATATCAAATATTGGTTGACGACGTGTTTGTGGAGCAGGGAGCGTAGGCAGCATGTTTCCGGCATGAGCTGCGTTTGCGTTAAGGTTTCAACATTTTCGTCAGAAGGTGATTGAAATGTTCGGTAACTCAGCGACGGCCTGGAACAAGGGTAGCAACTCATGGGCGTGAAGCCGCGCTTCCAGTTTCGTCAGCAGGACCTTTGCATTCGAGAGAACTCTTTCCTTGAAGTCAGTCATCATATGCAGAACTACTGCATGGTTGATATTCTGCTTATGCATTACACCACTAAAAGTACCCGATTTAATAGATAGACGCAGTGGGCCAACGTCCATTCGCTAAAGAATAATGTAGACCAGCTGGTGAGCAGGTAAAGCGCTAGATGATGGAAGGTGTCGTGCCCAGAGGTGCAAAATAGGAGGAACACGGGCACTGCGAGGGATGAGCGGGATGTTGATGGCTTTCTTAATTACGTGAGATCAGGTGAACTACAAAGACCGTAACCTAGCATTTCACGATAAAAAAGTTACTGAGTTCTTGCTTTAGGAATACTCGGCGCCTCCTATGGGTGGTAGAAGGGACCCTCTCGCTCCAAAAATTCCGACGGTCAGGGCATAGTGGAAGCCCTGTTGCTGTCTTGATTCACTTTCCCGCCTCTCGATCGATGTCACGTTGGACGAGTGTCGAGACAATACAGATTGCTATTATTCGTGCTAGGACCCACGCACAATCAGCTGATCGCCGAGTATGAGACGACGTTTTTCTCCCATTCTTTTTTCCTCCGTTATTCTTTTTGCAAGTCCTATCCCCTATTTAATCCCCTATTTAATTTTCTACTCCTAGAGGCTGAAAAATATGAGCTACTTTTGCTGTCACTAGGGTTTTTTGTTTACTTATGCTTATAAGTGAATGAATTTTTGCTTACCATAGTCTTTTATTCGTACCAGGACCCACATGTACGCAGTGAGACAACTGTATAGCTCGTTCGAACGCCCCACTCTTCTTCATTTTTCT